TTGGTTATTAATGATCTTTCTTTAATTTTTCCTTTAAATTCTAACTAATTAACTTTTTCAGTCGAATGTTGTTATTTGACAATATTAAGTCAATATTTCGTGAACCGTTAACTTTTAGTAGCGATATAAAATGTTTTAACAATTCGATAATTAGTACAGAACATTTCAATACATGTTCTTGATTCATAAGACAAAATATCTTTTCATTAAGAAGATGGATGGATATAATCACAATACCCCTTAAGTATATCTGAATTGTAAAAATTATTTTTCTAAATGCCTAAACATTAAATGTCAAAGGTAACTAGTGGTTCATCTTCTTTAGTAGACTTGCTGTGCATTGCATCACTACAGTGAATTATTCAATATATTCGGGTAACGAAAACTAAGGATTTTGTCAAATGGGAACATCTGACCGAAAAGGGCCAAAAATTTGAAAAGTTGCTTTTTTTTATTCGTCTACTTAAGCGCACCTTTGTGGTTTTTGCTCACCCATACCTCAATAGTTCGAGTCTCTATCCCATCAAGCATAGAATGACCCGACAAAGTCAATAATGGATGTTTGTCTCGTATCATCTATACGATGGTATGCTGACTTCGTTGTGACATACTCTAGCTATTATGGCTAGTGTTTGATTAGTTACCATCTACGAGTAGCTCGAATGATTGAGTGGAAGGACTCTGAGGTAGGTCAGCATTCTGTTCACAGCTACTATTATCAGGTTTAACATTTTTGCTGTTGAAATGTCCAGCAGTACAGTAAATAAAACATCCATACATTTTTAATAAGAGAAAAGAATTCATTATTCTATTTATCGCTACAGCAACTCCTTTATTTTTAAGCTAAACAGAGCGACATCTCGTTTTGCAGTAATGTCTTACTTTTATACGTTTATTAGTACGTGCCCACAGGGCGACAAAGTGCATCATCAATATCGACAAATGCACTATAGAGGGCGCCACATATGTAGACCTTTTTTCAAGAACTTTTGATATTACATTTTGAACTTCTAAAGTGATTTAATAATTTTGGTAGTAATAGTTTTACTCGCCGTAGTCCGGTTTAAGAGATCGTCACTGATTGGTCGTTGAATAGGAATAGTATTGACTGAGCATAATGATAGAAACATTATATGAAGACAAAGACCATTCTCATCATTTTAGACTATACTTGTTTATTATTAAGATCATTTGATTTTTTATTCTAGAACAAAAAAAAAAAAGACGAATGTCCTTGATTAATATTTCTTCTACATTCGATCTACCAAATCAATTTATACATCTTACTGGTTCTTATTATGTACAAAAGGTTCTTGATGTTGCTGATATTAACACATGCTTAATAAGTATTTAAAAATCTCTTATTTAAATGCAATTTTTTTAAAATTTCTTTTTGTTTTTTTTTCTAATTCAGATCATTCACGAATTCAAGATCCAAAAGAACTGCTCGATATATTTCCTTTATTCTATAGTATTGTTATGTATGAATTCGTTTTTTTGTTTTATTTTTCGACTAACATTTTATTTTTTTATATAGTCATTTTGATGAAGTATCAATTACTGAACATGCTCAAGCAGTTGAAATATTACTTCGATGTAAGATGTTTCTTTTTGTTTCAAATATATAACCTTTTTAAAAATTGTTATTAAAATAGTAACAGCAAGTGAAATGTCTGATGCTCAACGTCGAATTCATCTTGGTCTTTCAGATGATGATCGACATTC